TGATCTCTTTTTAATTCTCATCAGAACTCTAGCTGCAGCATTTTGGACAAGCTGAATACTTTTAACTTCATTCTGTGGACTTCCTGAGAGTAATGAATTACAGTAAACCAGTCTTGATGTAATAAATGCATGAACTAGTTTTTCAGCATCACTCCTGGAAAGGATGCTTCTAATCTTAGCAATATTCCAAAGGTGAAAAAAGAAAATCCTACAAACCAGTTTAACGTGAGAGTCCTGGTCGAAGACACTAACGTTCCTTACTTTGTTCTCAGAGACTAATTTAATGCTGTTCAGGTCAGATGATTGGCTAAACAATTTCCTTTTCTGAAGTTCCGGTCCAATAATGAGAACTTCAGTCTTGATTTAAAAGCAGAAAGTTTAGAGTCATCCAATTTTTCATGTAACAGGAAGAAACTTGCAAAGAATCCTGGAGCCATCCGCCATGAACCACTTGGGATTGAGAAGACAGAGCACATGCACACACACACACACACACACACACACACACACACACACACACACACACACACACACACACACACACACACACACACACACACACACATACACACACACACAGGCTACTTTATGACCATGTGTTTTACATGTTTAAAACACTTTATTATGTACACATTTTGAGAAAAGGTTGCAGGAAACACATTTTCATAGATTAACAATATTAATATAAAAACAGGCATTAAACAATAAATATGACTCACACACACACGAGTCATGTTTTTATCTGAATTTTGTTACGATAAAAACAGAATTCAATACCAAAAGACAATCTTGAACAATAGAGGAAACATCAGCTTGAGGAAAATTCCAGAGGAAAAACATGACAATGTGTTTATTTCCAGTCTACACTAAGCAGATCATTTCAGAACATTAATATAAAAATAATATTATTCTTATTTCTATGCTGAAGGATTGTTGCTTTATTGTTCAGTGTTATTGATCACTGCAGCTGTGAGAGAAGAGCTCCACAATCATCCAGCCTGCCCAGCTCCTCCACCACCTCCACAAGCCGCTCCACCTTCTCTGATGGCAGCACCACCTCTGCGTTGCTTCTGAACTTCTTGCTCAGGCTCTCTCAGGCCGTAGAAGGTGTCACAGCGGCCCTTCAGGATGTCTCCTCCAACTAGAGTCACCTGGACTTCTCCGTACATGCGGTTGAAATTGGCGGGGTTGTCCTCAGGATGCTCCATGCGAACACGGCTCAGCAGGAAGTGCAGCTCTGGGCGGCTCATGGCGGGCGGGCTGAAGGACTGCACGGTCACCTCACCGTCCAGCAGAGCGCTGCAGGCGTTAAACTGGAAGGAGTGGCGGGCCTCGTGCTCTGACTCGGGAAAAGGCCTGTTGATGTATTTAGACTGGGGGACTCTGAGCAGGATGTCCTGGACCTGATGTGGGGACACCTGTCCTAGACCATGTCCCACAAGGAGCTCATGGACCGCAGCTGCAGCATCAGCTACCCAGTGCATCCCCAGATGAGCAGGAAAACGCTTAAAAGCCATGTCCTGCTCCTCTAAAGGGAACACATGTCCACCATCATCAGGTGACTCTAAAGGCTGAGGAACATAATCTTCATAAAATGCGCTGAAGCCCGCCACTCCTGCAACAGCATCCAAGACCAGAGGACTGGCCTCTAGGCCTCTGGAGGCCAGCAGAGCAGCTTCAAGCCCCAAACGAGAGGCGTTGCCGATGTGAAGGGGCTTGGACTGAGTGGCAGCATTAGCCATTGGAGCTCCAGCTAGAGAAGCTGCTATAGCCAAGGCATGACTGCACTGAGACGGATCCAGAGACAGGAGACGAGAACAGGCTGCTGCACTTCCCATAGGACCCACCACAGTGGGAGGATGGAACCTGTTCACACACACACACACACACAAACACACGCACGCGCACACACACACACACACACACACACACACACACACACACACACACACACACACACACACACACACACACACACACACACACACACACACACACACACACACACACACACACACACACACACACACACACACACACACACACAGTTCATTTAGGACATTTATTCTGTTGTAACTGAAACAATCACTGATCTGCATCACCACTTAAGAACGTTTCTATTGGTTGAATCTTTAGAACAAGATGAATTGATTTGACTCGTTTCAGGTCGCCTGAGTTTCTAAAACACCCACCAGATGAAGGGTTTGGTTTGTGCTAATTCTGTTAATGTTACACCAAGAGCCCCTGCTGTTCCTACAGTAAGCATCATTACACTGACATCACTAAAACAGCCTCTTACACCTCAGTGCTGAGATCAGCACAGTCAAACAAGGACGTCTTTAAACGAACGTGTTCATGAAGATCGTGCTAAAATCAGACTTTCTGGTTCAAGCTTGACTTGTGCTGTGAGGCACTGACCTCTTGGGAATGCTGCGTGCTTCATTAGAGAACCTCATCAGACGGCCCTGGATCTCAATGCCGACATTGAAGGCCAGTAAGAAGTCCAGACCGCTTGGTTTGCTGTTAGCCGGCATCATGTCACTGAGAGCAAACAAAGCTGGGAGAACAGCTCCTGAGGGATGAGTGGCTGGATGCCACGTGTCGTCAACGTCCATGGAATGAGTCTGGAAGCAACCAGAGTTTGTGTCTCATCATACTGAAGCTGAAAGGAGTCAGAATAATAACTTTTTCTGTGAGGGTCATAACTAGATCAGAACCCAGCTATGAACACCTTGACTGTGCCGTGTCTGAATGATCCACTTCTTTATGATTTTTTTTCTGAAGTGAACACTGACATGTTTTCTGTTCCTGGTGTGTTTTCAAAAGAAAAATGACTTTCATTCCTAAATCCAGCCATCGAGGGGGAAGAAAGTAGCTTCTTTGGAAATGTTTGATGGGAAACTTTAAGGCCAGCTCAGCTGATTTTATTTCTATATCCTAACCCTGTGGTCTTTGGGAGCCACGCTGCACCAACAGCTGAGAAAAGCTGTTTATACAAAATGTTTCCACTGATGTTTATGTGGTTATTTATATATGGTTGTTTTCCACTTATGTTTCTCACCGCTACTCCATTAACGAAAGCTGCCAGTGTTGGGGAGAGTCTGATCCCTCTGCGTCCGTACACAGAGCTGATGTGATCCGGAGCATACATGTGCTAAGAACAAACACAGAAACAACCCTACATTCACTCATCTGTTCTGGACATATTTGGGTTGGACCTGACTCAGACTTTCACTTTGCCTCACCTGGCAGAACTGAAGAGCCAGCTCAAACACATCTGTCCTGCTCCCTATCAGTCCGACCCCGATGCTGTCCAGCACCATCCTTTTGCTGCGATGGAGCACAACCGGAGACAAATGCTGAGGCTTTATTTCACTGATGAACTTCCCAAAACTGGCTGTGACCGTATCTTCTGGGGCTGGGTGCTTCTGGACTGCAGGAATGAAAAGATAAAGTTGTTTAATAAAGGTTATTAATTAAGGTTATTATTATTAATTTTAATCAAAGTCAGCATATCTGTTTGCAGTGTTATGCAGTCTTCTGGCAGCCCGCACTTGTCTGATGGTTTTCTTTGGGACAAAACATAAATCAGAACAAAGCATTTTAGTTATTTTTCACATCTCAGGGTGACTACAGGCTGATGAGTTCCTGCATTAACTTGTTCACGTCTTTAATCTAATGTTTGTGTTTGAAAGAGCCAGTGTAGAGGTGTAACAGGTGTTTCCCAACATGAGTGTTCTCCTCAACAATTAGCAGGAGTTATTTTATAGTTCCCTGCCTTGGCCGCACTACAAACCTCTACTTTTAGATATTTTTATGACTTCTTTATTTGAAAAGGACTTAAAACCATCACTTTTAGAGTCTGAAAACTGACTAAAAGCATAAATATGTCTGTAATCTTACCTGTAGCGTGGAGAACATGACTTCAACTTTCTGTCACAATGATCTTGTTTATTGTTTCTCTTGGATGCAGCAGCTGAGCAGTGAAGGATGCTGATGCTTTTGTGGCTGAAAATCCACCTGCCTTATATAGTCCAGGACTTACAATGACCGGAAACACCAAAGGAGCAGGAAGGGCAGGTTCCTTTTGCAATCCTGCATCACATCAGAATGAGACTTTTCCACCCGGGTCATTATCTGTGGTGTAACGTTCACCATCATCAATAGCCTTGAGGGGGAGGAAGGAGAAAGAAGGAGGAAACGCCACTTTTGTGTAAAGTGAAAGGCAGTGATGTCACCTGTAAGTATGCTGCTGTGTGACAGAGTGGGGAATTCTCAGTAACTCCTCCTTTACACAAACAGATCATATTTAAGGCAAACCTTCGTCCCTCCTTCAGCACAACTCAGCTTTCCATCAGTCTGAACAACTTCAACAGGTAAAACTTTGCTCTTTATTTAATTGCTAACAGGAGTAAATATTTTGTTTCTGCGTGTCACCCATCAAAGATCCTTAAACCTGTAGCTAGATTATTATATACTCTGCTTTGTAGATTGAATCAGACCTAAATCTGCATAAAGGATGCTCCCTGACAAGAGTTTATTTATAAATATTAAAACTATTATTGCAATATCCTGTAGTTTTTCAACAACATGAAAATAACAGTAATGTTAGGGGTATTATTCTATTGATAAAATTGTTTTCTTTTAGAATAAATTCTTCCTCTTCAGAGAGCCTGTTAGAGGAGCGTCGTAATAAATGACTTTTACATTAGTTACATGACAAGAGTGGCTCAGCCTACTTATGACAGGCAAGGACCGTTTTATATTATATTATATTATATTATATTATATTATATTATATTATATTATATTATATTATACAGTCATATTAAAATTCATATATAAATGTTGTTGTTGAGGATTACCATTTTAGACTTTTATCATATGTTACCTGTACTGACTGGATTGTCTACAGAAACACCATGGCAGCCTCAAACGGTTTTCCTGCCAGTTTCTATGGAGAACCAGGAGTGTTAGGAATGTTATCCAATGGGATCAGTGCATTCCTTGTACTTCTACAGAACTTCAGCACAGCTCACACTGGCATTAAACCAGTTGGAGTGGAGAACATACTTGCAGGTAAAACTCTTGACATAAACACAAATATCTATTCATGTATAAACCTGTGAAGGTGGCTTACAGCAGTTTCTAACACTTCTTCCAGGTGTTCATCTCATCCTGATTGGTGGTTTGTGCCAGCTGGTGGCTGGACTGCTCTCCTTTAGAAAGTACGATCACCTGAGTGGCACTGCCTTCATCGGCTACGCTGCCCTTTGGGGTAGCTATGGGGCGACCAGAATCTACTATGGTGCTTTATTTAACAATCAGACTATACCATCAGTGTCAGAGCACATGTTCAATGGTTCAACCACCAACATGATGGTCAACACTTCTCTTCAAAACTCAACACAGTGCCACTTATGTGTGTCCATAGAAGAGTCAGCCATTGCTGGTCTGATCCCTTATATCCTTCTGTCCTTTATCCTGGCATTTTGCTCTGCCACGGTCAACTACATCATGCCTTTTGTTTTTGGAGCCATCACGGCCACTTTGATCTTTGAAGCAGCAGCTCTGGTGACAGGCCCTTGGGCTCTGGTGGTCTCTGGGGTTCTGGAGCTGCTCATTTTGATCTTTGCCATCTATGGTTCAGCTGCTCTACTCATCAAAGGGCTGACTCAACGTCTGGTTCTTAAAGGCTTTGGGACCCCCCTCTTTAATGTTCTCCTGCTAGGAACCACCAACTCAACAGGTGCTCAGAAACCTGGTCAAGAGAAGAAGAAGAACACAAAATATGCAGAGCCCATGGCCTTGGGATTCTTCTGTGACTCAATTGCTCCCTTCATCGTTGCCTTCTACAGCTTTGGGTACATGAAATCGTTTGGTTTAGGAGTTGCATGGGTATCAATCATCTCAGTCGCCCAGCTGTTCTCCAGCTACTACGCTCATTTGCGCCAGGATAGCTACCACACTACAAAATTTGGGATTCATGCCATGTATTGGCTGATCAAGGCTTGGGATGAGTTTGTGGCATCTGCCCTGATTGTGGAGCACAGTCAAGTTGTTGCTGGTAGGGAAGCCATGGTGGGAGACTGGTTCTTTGTGGTGGCTGGCTTGGTGCTCTGTGTGGGAAGCCTGAACATGGACACTCTGGAGCTGATCCACAACTTGCTCTTTGTTCTGCTCACAGTCTCAACAATCCCCCAGATCCCCCTGCAGGGTTACTACATCTTCTTTGGTGTAGCCTGCTCTCTCTTCACTGCAGTCTCAGTCTACGGTACCTTCTCACGCCTCATAAACACCATCGCAGAGAAGTCTCTAATCCCTGTGGGACCACAGCCGGTCTCCTCCGAGCAGCTGAAGAGAGCTCTGATGTGTAGAAGATCTCAACAGGGAGAACAAAAAGAGCTGCCCAACAGTGACCAGGCCTCAGATGCTCTGTTTTATCTCACCAACGGGGTTGCAGCACTTTCAGCTCTTCATTCAGAAGTGTCAAGTGGGAACCCTTCATTCCTTCATCTGACTGTCCCCTGGGTCCTCATCTCTGGAGGCATCATTCAGACCTATGTCAGCAGGCTACAAGTCACCGGAGAGGGCCGGTTTGGATCAGTCATCTCATCCATCTACGTGGTTGTATGGGCAACTTGGACGTGGTTTCGATTTGCAGGTATGTCAGCATAAAGTATGAGCAAAATACATTTTTTCTGACTGATTTGAACAATATTCTCATCAGGAGTTATTGTTCTACAGATTTTCAGCTTCAGCTCCCCGTCCTGGCAGCCTATGGATTCACAGCTGGAGGCGTTGCTTTACTGGTCATTAATGCCTTCCTCATGCTGATTGGTAAGGTCTAGTATCTGCTTTCAGCGCTGGAAATCACAATTTTTATTCATTCATAATTTTGTACTTTTGTTTCTTCTATTAGCTGCTTATAGGAACGTGGTTCTGTTGTTTCTAACAACAATCATGGAGGTTGTTCTTGTCTGCTTCCTTCTCTCCACCCTGCACAGACTTCCATACCAACTTGAAAGTGAGTTAAAACCGCCTGTTATAAACTTTATGTATTTACGATACTGACTCTCATCAGAACAAATAAAGTCTAACATCCAGAAACGATGTATTGCAGTTGCCATGCTTGCATTGGTATCCATCATTTGCTTTTATGGCACCTTGGCTTCACTGATGAACTGCATCTTCTCACAAAGAGTGATCCCAATGGGTCCTCCCATAATAAAGGTAATGACTGAAGTTTAGATTGGCCTACCTTTAAGAATCAGCATGAATAATTAATAAAAATGTGTGTGTGTGTTGTTTTAGGAAAAAGTGAAACAGGAAGCTTGTGACGAGCCGTCCTGTCCGGTGGCTAGCTCGCGTCTCACCAGCGGTCTGTTGAAGATAGCTCGACTTCTCGAGGACGGGGGTGTGTGTGGTATTCCCACAGATACTGTGTACGCTCTGGCTGCTTCCTGCAAGAATCCTCAGGCGATAGAAAAAATCTACAACATTAAAGTAAGAAGATAGAGGAGGCTTGTTTAACAGCAATATACATTTTCATGAAGTCACCATCTTGTTGAATTGGACCTTTTGCAGGACAGACCCGCAGAGAAGCCTATATGCATTTGCATCTCCAGTGTGGAACAGCTGTTTGCAGCCAGGCCTCCTTTCAGCCCTCTGCTGTGGGAGTTCATGAGGAATGTGTATCCTGGAGGCATCAGCTGCATTGTCAGCAAAGGAGACTGGCTTTACAGACTAGGTCAGCAGTGTAGAGTGTTTGAATGTTGAGTGGCAGAATTCTGTATCAGTATTCAGTTTTTACGTGAACTTTAACCTCATTTCTGTAGGAGTTGGACCTGCTTATGACCGTGTTGGTACCAGAGACAGCATCATGATCCGTGTCCCAGACCACACCGTGACCTGCCACCTATGTGACATCACTGGACCCCTGGCCATAACATCAGCCAATCCCAGTGGAGAATCAGACAGCACCCACCACAGCATGGTCATTAAGTAAGAGTCTCCTCAAAGAAGTTTAATGCAAACTAACAAACAACACATCTCTAACACTTTTAGCACCATACACTAATTACTGTTTCAAACTGCTTCTTTTGCTGCAGTCGACTGGGACACAAGATCCAAGGAGTACTTTGTGATGGTGACTCGAATGAAGTAGTTGCTTCAACTGTGGTCAACTGCCTGAGGATTGATGAAGGTAAGGGGCCATGATTTCTTCCTACTGGGAATGTTTAAGGTCAAGTTTCTAACTGAAGCTCTTCTAACCTTCGTTCAGGAGTCATCACCATTGTGAGAGAAGGCTGTGTCCCTGCTATCAAAGTCCAACAGATCTTTGACAGACTGAAGAACTCCATGATTTGAGTGTCTCTTAGCGAAGACTGTCTACCTGGCTGATCACCTTCAAGTCAACTTGTCTAACCCAAGCTGTGCTTTGCTTTTCATACTGACAAACAGCAAAAGAGGGAAAAGAAAACTAAAGATGTGTGTTTATATGGATGTAACTTTTGTGTCTTAGTGGATGCATAGATAGATGGCTAATTCAAAAGTCATCTTAAACTGCATGAAGTCCACAATGTTTTGCATTATTTATATATTTATTGTTATATTTATTTTCAAAATATATCAACACAAACACTTTGAATGTGTAAATAAGTATTTATGTTTTTTTAATTTATAATGTTTGAACTCATTGTAAAACAGAATGTCTTTGTGTGGTTTCTGCATTGAAGCGCTCTCATGCATTAATTTATTTGTGCAATAAAACAACTAAAGTTTATTAAGGCTTGCATCTTTAAATAATTACTAAATGTTTTCTAGATGAATGCATTCTCTCCCTCAGTACATCTTTATTCAGATCTTCAGATAAAACAATAACAACAATGGTGTTTAAAAGCTTGACAGAAATAGATATATTTTTGAACAATTACTAATTAAGCACTTGACAGCATCTAGTTATTTGTCAGAGGTCATTAGCAGCTCAAGAACTCTGAAACAATTCAACCATCTAACTTTGTTATGAGCTCTTTAAATATGGGGATCCCTTGTTTAATCAATACATTTGCAGTGGTCTCTAGTAGTAATGAAGCCTTGTAAGTCGTACTCTGGGGAAACAGAGCTCAGGAACAGTTTCAGGAAGTAGAAATGAGCCACATCAGAGTTGAGGATTGGCCTGAAGTAGCTAATGCTAACGGTTAGCTTAGACTGTTGGATACCCTAAACCAACAACAGCATTCCCTGTCGTGAGTCAAGATAGACGAGTCCATGAATGCTACGTGACATTATCTCTCTCTCTGTCTCTCTGTGTCTCTCTCTCTCTCTCTCTCTCTCTCTCTCTCTCTCTCTCTCTCTCTCTCTCTCTCTCTCTCTCTCTCTCTCTCTCTCTCTCTCTCTCTCTCTCTCTCTCTCTCTCTCTCTCTCTCTCTCTCTATATATATATATATATATATATATCTTTTCTTTTCTTTCTTTGAATATATATATTCACTTCTTTTCCAGCACTCGCAGAGAACAGACGCTTCTCTTTTTGCTCCCTTATCTTTTTTCCCAAGGCTCTTTGTCCTGTCTACCCAAAGAGCGCTTCTCTGCACATCTTCTGAAAAAACCTTTTATTTATTTTTTTTTTTTTACCGTGTCCTGTCTGGCTGTGAAGCAAGCAGAATTGATGTCTGAATGCTGGTGACAAGCCTTACAGATTTACTCTCAGGTGGAGCATCAAAGCATTTGCTTTTAATGTCACGCCTGATACTTAAAACTTTATTGTTATTGTTGTTGAATGCTTTGTGATTCCGACCAGACACGGAGACAGAGGTGAAAGAGAGAGGAAAAGAAAAGGTGGGGAGAGAGAGAGGGGGGGGGTTCCACAAAAACAAACCATAATGAACAAGAGTCTGCTTCCAGACCTGCAGAAAAAAGATTAAAAAAAAACAAAGGGACACAAAAAAAAGGACACAACAACAATACAACAAGATCTACCTATCACTGCGTCAACTTGATTAAAAGAAAAAATATATATTTATATATAATCAACATTGCTTAACTGAAGAATCACGATAATAAATCACAACACATTAAGTGCCCACCATAGTCTTAAGACCTGTGTTTAACGTGCCCAAGCCCATACTTTTGAGAGCACCATGTGAGCACCTGTGTGTGTACACGTGCTGATTTATTTAAGGTTTTTCTATAGGAGCGCCCAACAGAGAGTGTGAGGGACCACAGATCTGCCCCCCAAAGATGCGCAGGAGACGGGGAGAGCTCCAAGTCCCAGAGATCCAGGCGCTGCACCAGAACACAGGAACCCCAAGGAGACTGGGAAGGCCCCCGCCCCCCTCGAGAGGCACAGAGGATCGCCCCGGGGGGCCACAACCAGCAGCCGGCAGAGTCCCCGGAGATATCAGCGGCAAGCCCACAGGCCCGCCCGCAGCCTCCCACCCCCTAGCCGGCCGAGCCCGGGATCCAGCGACCCGGGACCCAGGGGCGACCACCCCCGCCGGGGACCCAGCAGAGCCCAGGGACCCAGACCCCACCAGGCAGCCACCGGGATCTAACAGGCAGATGCCAAAATCTTAAACCCCCAGACCCGGTTGCCCCGAACACTCAGGCAGACCAAGGCACAAGCCCCCACACCAGGTGTGGCAGGGGGAGGGGGGACAGAGATCTATATCATCAAGAGAAGTTCCAGGAGAGGGGAGGACCCAAAGGCCCCACCTGACATATACAGTCATACACAAACACAGTCACACGCTCCCTCCCTCATGCTCACACATGCACATACAACCCAAGACTTACAAAAATGCACGCCGGACACCCACTCATGCTCCCCATACACACCCTATTCACTCTGGTCCCGGTACTGCTGCACATTGGGTACAACCATCACCGGTAACCAGAGTTTGACCCTTTCTGCTGGGGTGCTGATGAGCAGGCTCCCCCGCCCAACACTGAGCACAGCAACCCACCACCCCAGACCCCAACCAGACGGCCAGATCTCCCTCCTAGCCTCCAACCCCAGCAAGCCTAGCAACAACAGAGGTGGCTAAGACCCCTAGTCTCCCTCCGCCTGCTCCAATATAGTGTTTGTGTGATCATGAGGTGTATTCCATGGCTGTGGTGAGTGGGCAGTGCGGGCATCATCCAGCATATGCCAGCTGATGCCACCGCACCACCCCACTTACACCCTCAGCCATCAGTGTCTAAGTGCAGTTTAAAATTGGAAGTGGGCACCGGCACTCGGGAGGAGGCTGAAATATCCCCCTATCAAATGCTGTTGAATGTGCTCACTCCCAAGGCCCTAAGTGTGTGTTTGTGTGGAATGTCGTCAGTGGAAGTGTATAAGGTGCAAATAAAATTGGGGGGCAGGTTTCCACAGGAATGCGGAAATGGGGTCCATACCCACACTCCCTGACTTGCCCACCCCCCAAGGTCCTATGTGTATGTTTGTGTGATGATGTGAGGGAGCAGAAGGAGAGAAATATGCGGGGATGGGGAGGAATGGCTGGTTGGGCTTAGCCCTCCAGGGAGCCAGCTCCCCTACTGGCCCCAATAGGCACCTCTGTTGTCAAACTGCCACCCAGGGCATGGAGACCCCAGCCCATCCTGCCAGGGCCCAAAGCAGCAGCATTACAGAGCCTCACGGAGTCCGAGGGCACCAACCCAGCCCCACCCCAGCAGAATATCTATGCCCA